ACGTGGCTGCGCCGCTTCGAGCAGCATCACGCTGCAAGAAGGCTAAGCAGCAGCCAGCGTCGCGCGGAGCGCTTTGCTTACATTTCCAAGCTGGAAGTGGCGACCTCGAAGAGGACGACGGCTCAGTGGACATCGAAGGCCACGATGTGCAAGATGGCTTGGGAGAGCAAGATGCTCTCGAGCGTCAGGAGCGGGCCCTGCACGCTGTAGCGCTGGACTCGCTGCAGGATGTTCTCTTTCGCGAAGCAGAGTGGGCTCGAGCGCTAGCTGGACGGCAAAGCCACACCAAGGACGCTGACCAAGCTCACGGATTTCTGCTTGTCATTAGGAGGAGTCCCTCAAGTGCAGCAGGGAATGAGCATTCGTGCCCAAGGAGCTGTGGGTCTGCGGCGCAACTGGAGTCATGCGGATGCAGAGCGGGCTCTTGGCGCTCAAAAGCGCTACCTGGAGTTTCTTTCTGGAGGCGCGGCGTATCCCATGCAAGCTCGGTTTTCGGTCGCTGTTGCTTTCATGTGCTTTTCTGGCTCGCTGTCTCTTGGTTTCGTGGAACTGCCCCGTTGTGGCCACAGGTGACGCAGAGATGGGCAAGGATGACGCGGACGAGGAGGAGTTTGCGCCGGTGCCGGAAACGCTGGACCCCTTCCTGGTGGACTTGAACGCCCGCGGCCTTGGCCCGGCCGAGTACGCGCTGGAGCTGGTGCGGAAGCACACCCTGAACAAGCAGCAAGTTCTGGCAGTGGCCCCGGTCGTGAACGCCATGCAGGAGATGTATGACAAGCGCACTGATTTCTCCAGCTGCCTGGCGGATGGAGCCAGCAGCGAGAAGTGCAACTGCTTGTGGCTTGGCGCAGGGGGCTCCGGCAAAACTTGGGCCTATACGAAGGTGCTCCGTCCTCTTTTCCAGCGATTCTTTGGACGCGCTGGCTACATCGTGGGAGCTCCCACCCACGCAGCCGTCAGACTCCTTGGCCCCGAGGCGAAGACGCTGCACAAGTGGGCCAACGTGAGCCCAAACACTGGCTTGGACCGCCGAAACCTTCGCGGTGCCAAGGCCAAGGGCAGCGCCGTGGAGGCGCAGATTGCCCAGGCGTCTGCCACGGTGATGGACGAGCTGTCCATGAATCCTCCAGATGTGTATCACGCGGCCGGCTATAGGTTTTCTTTGCTGCGACAAGAGCCTTTGGGCCTGGACATGAGCAAGTACATGGAGGAGTGGTTTGGCAAGATGCCCATCGGCATCCAGCTGGCGGACTTCTTGCAGCTGCGCCCAGCCACGCAGAAGTCGCTCTGTGAGTGGGTGTCGGCCAAGGCAGCGACAGAGCCTTCGGCCGACCCCGACGCGGACGCGGAGCACGACGACTCGGAGGAGGCTCCAAGGGCTTGGCGGCGTTTGTGAGCTTTGAGTGTTGTGTTTTTGTCTGACGCATTTCCACGGCTGGATGTAGGCCATGCCTCACTCTGAGTCTTCCGTGAGGTCAGCAACGCGTCCGAGCTGGGGCGCCTGCTGTTCAAGCAGTCGCTGCAGCGGGTCGTCCACTTCACCGGCACAGGTCGCTTCTTGGATTGCGTTTCTGGGCGACAGCTCGTGCAGCTTTTGCAGCACATGCGAAGTGGGACGCGCATGTCTGACGAGCTGTGGCAAGCCGTCAAAGCGAGGAGCTACACCTCGGCCTCCACGACTTCAGCGTCCACTCGCGAGCAGCTCCTCCAAGCTCACTGGGGCGGCTTTGCCTGGGAGCAGGTGGCCCGCTTGCAGCAGCTCAGGGCCGCGCTGGAGGCCCGAGCTGCCGGTCAGACTTTGTACTTCGCGCAGGCGATTGACCGCCCCACGGGTCCCACGCAGCTCAGCAGAGACCACGTCTTCGCAGCCTTGCAGGTCGTGAACATGACAAAGACGTCATATCTGCTTGGCATGTGTCCTCTCTACGTGGGCATGCCTGCCCGCGTGTCTTGCATATTGCCCATGCCCTTGCTGACACGCGAGCTGCCCGTCATCGTTCGAAGGATAGAGCTGCACCCGAAGGAGCCGCCAGTCCCGGAGCCTCTGGCAGTGCTGGTAGAAGTAGATGACGAGGAGTACAAGAACTACTGCCTACCTGGGCATGAGGGCGTTCCGCCCGGGCACTTTTTCATCCGCGCCATATCTTCAGAAAACGCTTGGTCTTTTCATACTGCGGGCAAGGAGAAGATCAGCGTGGTGCGCAAGCAGGTGCCGCTGGCTCCTCGCTGTGTTTTGACTCACTACGGGCTGCAGGGCGTGACTGCCCGGCGGGGTCTCGTGGCCTTCCTTTCCAGGCCCAGCTGGATGAAAGACGCAGACTACGCCCTGGCGATGTACGTCATGCTATCTCGCCCGCGCAAGTTGGACGACTTGTGGATCATCGACTTGCCTGAGAGGGACGTGTTTGAGGGGCACTTGCACGCCCACAACACCACGCTGGTGGAGAGGATGCAGCAGTTCGAAGCGCAAGCGCTTCGGGACGAGAGCAGGGCACTGTCCTACGTTAGAAAGCTTGGCTGGCACAGCTCCGAGTTCGTGTCCGATCTCTTCCCCTCTGGCGCTTTTGAGCGGCGAGTCCGGCAAAAGCTTCGTGCGTGACACGCAGCCTGGGCTACCACACCGTTCGTCATCAAGATGGCTCAGCACTGCAGACAGCTATAGTCGTGTCATCTGGGTTGGCTCGCGCTGGCGGATGTTTCCGACGCGCGAGCGATCCCAGTCTGGCGCGACATAGACGTGGGAGGACGAGCATCTTGGTGGTCGGATTCCGGCGACTTCAAGGACGACCTTGGCACTTCCAGTCTCCGCGGCGGCGCGCGTGATTCTTTGTGAGTCCTCCGGGCGAGTTCGTGTCCGATCTCTTCCCCTCTGGCGCTTTTGAGCGGCGAGTCCGGCAAAAGCTTCGTGCGTGACACGCAGCCTGGGCTGCCACACCGTTCGTCATCAAGATGGCTCAGCACTGCAGACAGCTATAGTCGTGTCATCTGGGTTGGCTCGCGCTGGCGGATGTTTCCGACGCGCGAGCGATCCCAGTCTGGCGCGACATAGACGTGGGAGGACGAGCATCTTGGTGGTCGGATTCCGGCGACTTCAAGGACGACCTTGGCACTTCCAGTCTCCGCGGCGGCACGCGTGATTCTTTGTGAGTCCTCCGGGTAGCATAGCTCATGAGTAGCTCAGGTAGTGATGCACGGCTTGTTGCTGAGCGCAACGAGCGGGCGCATGCGACGAGCAAGAACAATGCGAGTGAGTCGCGAGCGGTCTGGGCTTTTACCTCTTGCTTGTATGCGGGCGCACAACTCCGGCAGAGCCAGCAGCCAGCGCCACAAACGCACACGAACGACACCGCCAGCACTGGTGAACACCACGCGCAGTCTCACGCGCAGCAGCACGTGGCACATCATGCGCAGCATCGCGCGCAGCGTCACGCGCCGCGCCACGCACAGCTTCGCGCGCAGCACGCAGCCGCCACATCTTGCAACACGCGATTCGCGATCTTCCTCGCTGCTGCCAGACAACATCAGCAGATTGAGCGCTTGCGCTGTCTCCATGTTTTGCTCTTCGAGGGAAGCCGAGTGAAGCCGGACAACATCAGCAGATTGAACCAGCCTCGCGCGCAGCATCATGTGCCACATCATGCGCAGCACCGCGCGCAGCGTCACGCACCGCGCCACGCACAGCTTCGCGCGCAGCATGTAGCCGCCATATCTTTCAACATGCGCTTTGCGATCTTCCTCGCTGCTGCCAGACAACATCAGCAGTTTGAGCAACCTGCGTGACATGCTTGAGCGCTTGCACTGACTCCACGTTTTGCTCTTCGAGGGAAGCCGAGTGAAGCCGGACAACATCAGCAGATTGAACAACTCGCATCAGCAGCTTGAGCAGTTGTGTTGCCTGCACGCTGTTGCACTTGAGTGAAGCCAAGGGAAGCCAAGGGAAGCCGGACAACACCGGCAGATTGAACAACCTACATGACATGCTTGAGCATTTGTGCTCACTGAACGCTGTTGCACTTGAGTGAAGCCGAGGGAAGCCAAGGGAAGCCGAGTGAAGCCGGACAACATCAGCAGATTGAACAACCTACATGACATGCTTGAGCTTTTGTGCTCATTGCACGCTGTTGCACTTGAGTGAAGCCGAGGGAAGCCGAGTGAAGCCGGACAACATCAGCAGATTGAACAACCTACATGACACGCTTGAGCATTTGTGCTGCCTGCACGCTGTTGCACTCGAGTGAAGCCAAGGGAAGCCGAGTGAAGCCGGACAACACCAGCAGATTGAACAACCTACATGACATGCTTGAGCATGTGTGCTCATTGAGCGCTGTTGCACTTGAGTGAAGCCGAGGGAAGCCAAGGGAAGCCGAGTGAAGCCGGACAACATCAGCAGATTGAACAACCTCCGTGCCACACTTCTGCATTTGCATTGAGACCTCGCTTTGTAAGTTGCCTGCATGTCCAGGAGCTTCGCTCCAGTTTCGCTTCGCCCAGGTGGTGGTGGTTTCTCCACGGTGCCTCAGGTGTTGGTTCTCCCCCGCCTCGCCTTCCGCGCCACGCGCCTGGTGGTTGGCTCAAGCTAGCGCGGCAAAAAAAAACATCGCGGTAGTTTGCTTGCTGCCTGTTTGTTCATGTTGGAGCCGCCCGAAGCATGGTATGCATCATCGAGATCCACATGCCGAGCCACTCGATCTACACGCGCGACATGATGGTGGGCAAGATCGCGATGAGCAGGGAGAACCTGCACTGAGAAGTGCATTCCTCAACTTTTAGTGCCATATTCGAGCTACTGAGAAAAAGCGGAATCTGTCTGTGTGCAGCTTGTCGCGACTAGACTACTTGATCGCTAACAACTAACTTGCCTCTATGCTTCCGGGCCACTCGTCGTCTAGTTTTTTTTAGAAGGCTGCCTGGAAAGAATGGGGAGGGTACCCCTAGATTCACCAACTTTCTGGCCTGGGAACGTCGTTCCCAGGGCCTTTCATCGGTTACCGCCGAGCGTCAAGATCCAGGGGATGCCCGTGCTTCAGGGTTGGAAACCTCAGATGCCAACGGCATGCTTGACACAGATGCCTCTGGTCCAGGACCCGTGAAAGTAGAAGCCACCCACCAAACAAGGGCTCCGCTCCGCTCTTCTGCCAGAAGTTGTCTCAAAATGAGGCTACAAAGTTGTTGGCTTCTTTTTGGATTCCTTGAAATGCAAACTGGTTTGAGCAGAAAAAACAAACTTGCCCGCTGCCTCACATAAAGGACTCGTCCCCTTTGTGGTCCCCCTGAATGCCCCTCCCAAATTGGCGGGAAACTGCTGGCAGTTTTGACCAAACCTCACATTTCCGGCAACTTCAGCGTGGCTGTCGAGCGATGCCAAACCAAGTGTCACAGCCCAAGTGAGAACACAATGAGCAACGGACAATACCGGCCATGGAGTGCCCACAGGGAATCCGGTGAGTATTCACCATGCGGCAACCTGGTGACTGAGCCCCACTTGCCCTGCGAATCGATCCGGGCAAGTTCTACTTCCCCTGAGAAGACAATCTCCCCAAGAGAGGCGGTCTTGGAGGTCGAGACCCGTGACAGGTCCCAGTTGTCGCATAAAACAGATGCCCTCTGTGACGCGCCATAACTTACCCCGGTTCAATGACTGTTGCTCACAGGCTCACGGTTCAGATGCTTGGCAGGTCAGGCTGTCGCCCGCAAGGATGCAGACAATTCAGAACAACTTGGTAACCAACACAAGTCATGTTCAAAATTGGCTTAAAAGTTCAAAGACGACATATTCTCAGTTGCTTTCTGCTCCCCTGCTAAGTTTTAACTTTAGTGGTTTCATGGAACACCCATTAGTTGGCTTAAAAGTTATAAAAGACACATATTCAGCCATGGGTCAAAACCCAAATCGTACCCCCAGTGAACATCCCAATGCCCACTAAAATAGACTAAGATGGGTGGTGCACCTACCCAAAAATGGTACCATTGGTTTTGACCCACAGCCATATTCTCAGGTCCATCTGGAGCTTCAGCGTAACTCCAACACCTGAACTAAGATAGTCTTCGCCGGGATGCTTGTCCACGCCCATGTCAACGCAGAACTTGGCGGCATCACCTGCGGAAAGTCGGCAGAGCGTATGATGTATACTCGCACTTCCTGAGTGGACTGGCATCAAAAACGTCCAAGCTGTTTTGATTTATCGCTAAAGATCCCTCGCTAAACGTGAATAACTTTCAGTGGGTCAAATGGAAATCCAACCACTAAACACTAAAAGGCTAAAAAGCTGAGGGGATGGCTGGGAACCACCAAGCAAAATTGCCCAAACGCACAAGGCCTAAAGTTCAGGAACTCGTCTGAAGTGAGTGCTGTGGGACAAACAAAATGTTTCGCGCCAGTTCATAGGTTGCTTCTTCCATCCCGACTGGTTGGGGATTATGACCATCCACGGTATGATCCTTTAACATGGGTTTTGTGAGATGGGTGTTTTCTTCTGATCGGAATCGGTCCCTCAGAATGCTGGACATCATTTTAACTACTAATTCCACCATTTTGACACACCCCACATGGTCTAGCAAGTCAGTTTTACTCGCGGCGTTCAGCGGAATGAACGTCCCAAGCGCCCCACTTGGATCGCCTGAGCAGTCTACGTCAGCAATGAGGATGGCCTTCTCCTTCCTCGCATCCTGGGCGACCAACTTCAACTGTGCTCGAGGGCGATGGTTCGGGGAGCAACTAGAAATCTCTGACCCTAGCAATCCTATCCAGGTGTTCGAGTAAATAGCTAAGTAGGGCACTCACACCAAAGTACACCTTTACCACAAGACGTACTTGACATGGAAGACCCATAGACCATCACGTTTAGCAGAATCTGCTTTGGGCATGCAGCGGGAACCTTCTCTGTGCTACCACAGCGTGCCACCCCGACGACCTTGTCACGTCAGGGGCTATTCCCAGAAAGGTGTTTAGCACAGCCTCTTTTCTCAAACAACGTTGGTGCCCCTCTTCGAGTAGAGACTTATCTGCCTTCCCCATTTTGCCCACGAAGGGAAACCCTTGGGCGTTGCAAGAAAAGAGACCGGCTCGGCACTCAAATATGGCCACACTTTACACTTATTTCTGACCATGTGCATTTTGCTTAAATTTGACCATTAACTTCCCTTATTTATGACCATGGAATTCACTTACTTGTGACCAGGCGACCATGCAGGAATCCATGACCTGCGGCCGCGCCGCTTCTGCGGCTGGGGTATTTCTGTGGCCTCCTGGGGCTGGGGAGGGGGGGGGGTCGCTGACTGCTTCGGAAACTATGCTTTGTGGAAAGTATGCTTCAAACACCAGGAGAAAGTGCCACGCTGCCATCGCTAGTCAGTTAGGGGTCTATGACCGGGAAGGTGTCGAGCAATGACCGTGAAGGCTGCGGGGAAAGACCGGGAAGGCCTCGAGGAAGGAGCAAAGACTGGGAAGACTTCGGGAGAAGAGAGGGAAGGCGTCCAGGAAGGACGGGAAGGCTGGCTTTGCCATCGAGCATGCAGTGCGTTTGTGACAAGTGCACTGCGCGTATCAGATCTATGCAGACTGCTGGCGGACTGAGCCGAAACCGGAAATGCGACCGCCAAGCCCAGCCAAGGCCCAGGTGGGGCGACTTGCACAAAGCAGATGACGGGCCCTGCTCGCCCGGGCCTTGGCGCGGCGCCTTCCCGGTCCTTCCCCGGCGCCTTCCCGGTCATTGGCCAAGACCTTCCCGGTCTTTCCGCCGCCTTCCGACCGCCTTCCCGGCTGTTGCTCAACGCTTCCCTCGGCGCCTTCCCGGCCTTTTGTCGCAGCCTTCTCGGAGCCTCCCAGTCCTTTCCCGCCCTCTTTGCTAGGGTTTTGTTTTCGGTTTTTCGGTAGGGAGGACTTCGCCATCCCGAGCTTTTGCCAAGGGCATTGTCTGTCGGCTTCCCCCTCAGCAGCCACCAGTGCCTGCCCACCTCGCCCCTTCCCCCTGGCCGGATGCCTGCTACTGTCCACTTGCGCACATTGAGGATCCCGGAAACTGAAAGCAGAGGCGGCTGCCCCTGTGTTCCGCCGGCGCGTGCATCATCCCAGGCTACTCTGCGCCTGCTCTGTGAGCCAAGCACCTTCCCGGCAGCCTGTCTTCCTCCGCATGGCCTCCGAGCAAGCCAAAGTCTGGTCTTGAACGCTCAGCGCCTTGGAAACGCGTAAGTCGAGCCCCGCTGCAGCAAACTCATGGGCATCCTTGGGCTGAAGCGCACAGTGCGCTTGCAGTAGGCACACTGCGTGCTCAGCACCAATCTGCTCTGCTCGGACAGGACCCAAGACCTTGCTGGCTGCGCTTCCCCGGCCTTTGGCCCCGAGAGGTCCCTGCAAGATGCCCGCGTCGGCCTTCTCCCGCCGGCCTGCCGCGGCCCGCGGCCTCGGCGGTCTCGCTTGCTTTTTCCGTGGCCGGAATTCGCCGCCTGGACAAGACCGGGAAGGTTTCAAGGAAGGACCGGGAAGCGTCGCGCGAAGACCGGGAAGGCCCCGGAAGAAGACCGGGAAGGTGTCGCGCAATGGCCGGGAAGGCTGCGGGAGAAGACAGGCAAGGCGTCGAGGAAGGACCGGGAAGGTGTCGAGCAACGACCGGGAAGGCTGCGAGGAAAGACTGGGAAGGCTGCGGGAAAACACCAGAAAGGCGTCGAGGAAGGACCGGGAAGGCGTCGAGCAATGACCGGGCAGGCGTCGAGCAAAGACCGGGAAGGCGTCCAGGAAGAACCGGGAAGGCGTCAAGGGAAGACCGGGAAGGCCCCGGAAGAACGGGAAGGCGTTGAGCAATGACCGGGAAGGCGTCGAGCAAAGACCGGGAAGGCGTCCAGGAAGAACCGGGAAGGCGTCAAGGGAAGACCGGGAAGGCCCCGGAAGAACGGGTGGGCTTGGGCTTGTTCTTACTGCCCGGAGGCCTGCCTCTAGGCCTTGGCGCCGGTTGCGCTTGCTTCATCGGTTTTTAATAGAAAATATTTTTTTAAAAGACCTTCGGGGGATTAGACGTGATCCAAAAACAGCACGAAGGACAACGACGAGCCCCTCAGTCGGACGAAGGCGTTGAGCAATGACCGGGAAGGCGTCGAGCAATGACCGTGAAGGCTGTGGGGAAAGACCGGGAAGGCTGCGGGGAAAGACCGGCAAGGCGTCGAGGAAGGACCGGGAAGGCGTCGATCAAAGACCGGGAAGGCCCCGGGAGAAGACCGGGAAGACTCGCGAACACCGGGAAGGGGAAGGTGTCGCGCAATGGCCGGGAAGCTCGAGCAAAGACCGGGAAGGCTGCGGGAGAAGACAGGGAAGGGGAAGTCGAGGAAGGACCGGGAAGGCGTCGAGCAAAGATCGGGAAGGTCCCGGGACAAGACCGTGAAGGCGTGGAGCAATGACCGGTGCGGGGAAAGACCGGAAAGGCGTCGAGCAGTGACTGGGCAGGCGTCGAGCAAAGACCAAGGCCCCGGGAGAAGACCGGAAAGGCGTCGAGCAATGACCGGGAAGGCGTCGAGCAAAGACCGGGAAGGCCCCGGGAGAAGACCGGGAAGACATCGAACAATGACCGGGAAGGCTGCGGGGAAACACTGGGAAGGCTGCGGGGAAAGACCGGGAAGGCGTCGAGGGAAGACCGGGAAGGCCCGGGAGAAGACCGGGAAGGCGTCGAGCAATGACCGTGAAGGCTGCGGGGAAAGACCGGAAAGGCGTCGAGCAATGACCGGGAAGGCGTCGAGCAAAGACCGGGAAGGCCCCGGGAGAAGACTGGGAAGGCGTCGATCAGTGACCGGGAAGGCGTCGAGCAAAGACCGGGAAGGCCCCGGGAGAAGACAGGGAAGGCGTCGAGCAATGACCGGGAAGGCTGCGGGGAAACGCCGGGAAGGCTGCGGGGAAAGACCGGGAAGGCTGCGGGGAAAGACCGGGAAGGCGTCGAGCAATGACCTGCGGGGAAAGACCGGGAAGGCTGCGGGGAAAGACCGGGAAGGCGTCGAGGAAGGACCGGGAAGGCGTCGAGCAAAGACCGGGAAGGCCCCGGGAGAAGACAGGGAAGGCGTCCAGGAAGGACCGGGAAGGCGTCGAGGGAAGACCGGGAAGGCCCCGGGAGAAGACCGGGAAGGCGTCGAGCAATCACCGGGAAGGCGTCGAGCAATGACCGTGAAGGCTGCGGGGAAAGACCGGGAATCGAGGAAGGACCCGGGTGTCGAGCACTGATTGGGAAGGCTGCGGGGAAAGACCGGGAAGGCTGGAGGGAAAGACCGGGAAGGCGTCGAGGAAGGACCGGGAGTCGAGCAAAGACCGGGAAGGCCCCGGGAGAAGGTGTCGAGCAATGACCGGGAAGGCGTCGAGCAATGACCGTAATAATGACTGGGAAGGCTGCGGGAAAAGACCGGGAAGGCGTCGAGGAAGGACCGGGAAGGTGTCGAGCAAAGACCGGGAAGGCGTCGAGCAAAGACTGGGAAGGCTGCGGGGAAAGACCGGAAACGCGTCAAGCAATGACCGGGAAGGCGGGAAGGCGTCGAGCAATGACCGGGAAGGCGTCGAGCAAAGACCGGGAAGGCCCCGGGAGAAGACCGGGAAGACGTCGAGCAATGACCGGGAAGGCTGCAAGACCGGGAAGCCTGCGGGGAGAGACCAGGAAGGCGTCGAGCAATGACCGGGAAGTCTGCTGCGGGGAAAGACCGGGAAGGCGTCGAGGAAGGACCGGGAAGGCGTCGAGCAAAGACCGGGAAGGCCCCGGGAGAAGAACGGGAAGGCGTCGAGCAATGACCGTGAAGGCTGCGGGGAAAGACCGGGAAGGCGTCGAGGAAGGACCGGGAAGGCGTCGAGCAAAGACCGGGAAGGCCCCGGGAGAAGACCGGGAAGGTGTCGAGCAATGACCGGGAAGGCGGGGAAAGACCGGGAAGGCTGCGCGGGAAGGCGTCGAGGAAGGCGTTGAGCAAAGACCGGGAAGGCCGGGAGAAGACAGGGAAGGCGTCCAGGAAGGACCGGGAAGGCGTCGAGCATCCTTGGGCTGAAGCGCACAGTGCGCTTGCAGTAAGCACACTGCGTGCTCAGCGCCAATCTCCAAAGGCCCTGCTCGGACAGGGCCCAAGACCTTGGCTCCGCAACCCTCACCTCCCAAAAGACCTTATCTTAATTAAGGTCTTTTTTTACTACCTTAATTAAGGTGTTTTTCCTTATTTAGGGTGTGTTTTTTTAAGGTTTGTTTTCCTTAATTAAGGTCTGTTTTTTACACTTTTTTGAGCAGGAGGCAGCCGCCTCCTTTTTACATGAGTTAGCAGATCTTTGAAGCATTCCCTTTCGGGTAGTGGCATGCGTGTCTTGGAGCTCGGGTGACTATTTGACATCTTGGCAGCCGTTTTGGAGCTCAAGCTTTGATCCGTGCAATGGCTCGAGCTAAAAACACTGCCGACGAGAAGGCCGTGGGCAAGGTGCTACGGGCCAATTTGACCTGCCTCGACCCAAAGCTTTTCCAAGTGGAGATGGATTTGGTAGTGGCCAGCTACGAAGATTTTTTGATCGACTTGCTTAAGGTGACAGCAAGGCCCACCCAAAGCATTTTGAAAGCTGCTGCTTCCAGTGTGTTTGCAGTTTCTCCAGAGACTGCGGATGCCTTTGCTGGCAGGATGTGCAAAAGCATTTCTTACTGCAGGCAAAAAGAGAAAAGTGCTCAGAGCGG